TTCTGCATCATTTATTCCTGTTTACATTCATAACACCACTTTCTTCAAATATTGGCTTGCTGGTCAATCTACATTTCTTGTTTATTACCTTTTTAATTATTCTCAAATCTCTTTTGGCCACTTGCATCTTTTGGGTTTGTTTATTAACAAAAGTTTATATAAAATGAAAATCACATCTTATATATATATATATATATATATATATATATATATATATCTAAAACTATTAGTAACATGGCTTGGTTAATAACATTTTTATTGTGAAAACACTGACTTGTATAATGATAACTAATATAGTGTATTATGTATGTGTATAATATATCTCCAAACACAAAAAAAAATTTAATCTAAAAATCTAAAATTTCAGCATTCCCTCTCCTTCATATGCATGTATAGTCATGTAAATGTAACTTTAGTCTGATGAAATCTTAAAGGCTGAAATGTATTACACAATATATGTATATATATTGTTGAGATGTTGTGAGTTTCCCGCGTGTCGGTGTATGAATCAAGACAAACAGTTGTAGAGGAAAATACTAGTATATTTGTAAAAGCAATTAACAATAGAGGGATTAATAGAATGAAGGTTGGTTAGTACAAAACAATATCCAAAGTCTATAGTCCAACGGTATGTAACGGGTAAGCTTATCTGGATTGCTGTCGCTGACGCTCTCTCTCTGGCTCTCTCTAGAGCTGACTTATATAAGAGGGACCAGTCCATTTCTAGTTAGAAGGTGGGTGCGCCCCAACATATATATATAAAATTCTCAACTTTATATATATATATATATATATATATATATATGTATAAAAAGTTGAGAATTAGAGTTCTGACCATGAGACCATGATTAATTTGTCAAGGAAGAGACTTCTTGGTAATATTGGCCTCTAGAGGCAATTCCAGTATGTAGTATCATTGGTAAGTGCCTATGAACCAAACCAAAATTATGTGAGCAGAATAAAGTAGAAAAAAATGTTCAGAAGATGTCAGTGGTTATGGTAGCAGAAAGCTATAAGTCTGTGGGTCTTAGTGTATTGCTCATGTTCATCTATTTATCACATCTATGTATCATGCCAGATTTTGCACTCACTCTCACAGAAACTAAAGGTTCACAGTGTAGTTGCAATATAAACCACAGGTTGTCTCTGAGGGTGTTGAAGAAACACAAAATGTGTCTGAGCTGGTGTCTGCAACAGGGATTAGATAGCTACTCTAGTAGATGGGCAAATGTGGCAATGAGTACCTATTATATATATATATATTATAAACTGTTACAGTTTATAATAGATATCTATAGCTCTACTCTTGTACCCTTTTTTAAATTAATGTTGTTTGAATTTATATTCTTTTCATTCTTTTACATTTGTGTGTGTGTGTGTGTACACAGGGGAAGGCAAACAAAGGTATACAGACTTGTGCATAAAATTTATTGTATTCACTATACAAACATATCAATAAAAAATATAACAATCCCTCAAAATATCAAACTGCTTGTTTGAGTCATTCCCACACACCTCTTTACCTGCAAAACTTTATTATTATTATTATTTATTAAAAAATAAAACTTATAATAGATGTATTATAATATAAAACAATTAAAATTTTTTTCACGAATAAAATGAATTCTAATATTAAATACATCCTAGAATTGCTGTTATAATACTGGTATAATGCTTTCTGTATACCTACTTTTGCAGCCCCTTGTACACACACAAACAGGCAGACACATAGATAGATATATATATATATATATATATATATATATACATATATATATATATATATATATATATATACATACATACATACATACACACAGAGACAAAAGGCTGATGCAACCATTCCCTTTCGTGCTGTGTTATAGAAATCTTACTTTAGGTCTCTATTGCTTCTGTCTGCATACTCTTTGTGAATTGTTTGTGGAAAAGTGATAACTTTATTTTGGTGAAAATTCTAGCTGAACAAAAAAAGGTATATTCAACACTGTTTACTTTCATGTTTAATTTGGAAACAAATCCAGCGGAAAATAGACAATGGATCAGTGAAGTGCACAGTATTGATGCAGGAGGCGCCAGCATGTGTATAGGAGTGGTTTGCAAAGTTTAAAAAAATAAAAAAAATAAAAGATTTTTGAGCTCACACAACAAAGACTGCTATGTAAGAACTTGAAAACTGATGAATTAGACAAATTTTGGAATAAAGATACAGCACAATAATATGTAAACCCTAAGAAAAAAAAAATCAGCCTTGTTTACATAACTTAAGTAAAAAAAATAGAAACTATGAAAACAGGTTCCATGTAAACTTATGGAAAGGAATATTGGTTAGGATATTATGCGCAAATCTTTCTCTCCTTGCTCCACATGGAAAGTCATTTTAGATAAGCAACTTGAATAGATAGTCAATGCAGAATCGGATTATTCTGTGACTGATTTTTTTTTTTTTTACAGCTTAACCTTTTGCAGGTTATTTAAAACTAGAAACTAATATTTTTAAGAGTGTAAGGATTTTTTTAAAAAATAATCATAATTTATTTATATGTCCAACTAATTAACCCATAGCTGGGAGATGAAGTGGATTGATATCTTTACCAAGAGCAGTTATCCCTTACATCACTGGTACATCCAAGCTTACAGCATCTGGTATTCCCAAGTAGTCACACAACTAGATACTGACAAGACTCAATATTGCTTAACTAGTGATTGTATGAATACCAGCATTTTAACTTGATATGGCTGTAAGCCCATGAACCCTCAGAAAAAAATTAGACAGATATCAACCTTGTTTAAGTAAAAACAATGAAAAATGGACTCCATGTCAAATTATGGAAAGGAATATTGGTTAGAATATAAGCATCAAATCTTTCTCCCCTAGCTCTACAAGGAAAGTAATTTTTGATTAACTTGAATAGATAGCCAACACAGAATTGAATTATTCTGTGAATTCAAAATTAAGAAAATTATCTTATGATCCAAAACTGTCTTCAACATTTCAAGCTAAATATATATTCTGCTGAGGAAAACAAGTTTTTCTATATATTTTCTATCACATCACCTTCAGTTGGAATCAAAGTCATTGTGAACTCCACAATACTTTTGATGTCTGTGTAGTGTGTGATTTACTAGGGCTGTATACAGTTTTGATTCAGGGTTTTTCCTTGGAGCAACCACAGAGCTCAGTCTGCCCTACTATTTAACACATACATGAGGGAAGAAGCTTATTCATGTATTTCCCCAAAGATATTTGTTCAAAAGAGAATTTAACAAACTCAACAAGAATTTGAACCCATTTGCCAATTTCTCATTCCAAGCTGATAAGAATTGCACTAGCTGCACATCCTTTGTATTTAGTGAAAGTCAAAGGTAATTATTTATTACTAATTGCTACAATCTGGACAAACTGTTACTGTGCAATGCTACAGTGAACAATTAACTCATTTGATTGATGCATTGGAAAGGAAAAGGCATGAAGTGTGTTGCAAATGTGTCACAGTAAACAATCATAGAGCTGTGGTTAGGAGTTCTTAGGCATGTAGTATATTCTCCAGGTCTTTTACTTTCTGAGTTTCAATTGATACAACACTCTTTCTCTAGCCAGAAGTTTCAGCAAAAAGATTTCCTTGAATCAACATTGTTCTTTGATAAATGTAAATAGACACTTTACCTGAAAGGTGCTAGCACACCAAGGAAATTATTTTTCTTTCTTATGATGCTATAAACTGATAGATAAAAAGAGTTCAGCACAAGTGCTGGAAACTTTTGCATCTACCCAATATATATGTTTATATGCATTTTTTGAAAGGCCTTTTTAGTCAGACCAAGAATTTTTCAGCACATCCTTTATAATATAATTAAACGACAAAAAGCAAAACACATGCACACATATAAATATGTATGTATATATATGTTTGTAAAACTTTTACCTATTTACAGAACTCATATCATTAGTTGTAATTTCCATGAATCTTGATCTGCTAACCAGATTTTCTACCAGAAATTAAAAATGTTTTTTTTATTTAATCTGACATTATTTCTTGTTACTACAAACTTTATTTTTAGTGGGTAAAATGAAAATTTTAGTAATGTGTGCATGCTTTATATATATCTGATTAATGGAAAGTTAAGTGAGTGCCCTGACAAGGAAGGAGATTACTTTGAAAATAAATATTTGTTGTGTGAAATAAATGTTTTTGTCAACATTAAGCTGTGAATTTACAGATATTTCTCTGTGTGTCTGGAAGTACTCAAAAGTTCATGGCCTGTCCCACTACCTAATTTTGCAAGGAAAGTCTTGGTTATGCTAAGAACTTTTTACTATCCCATTTTATATATATATATATGTCTGTGAGTATGTGTGCAAAAAGAGATAGATGGATAGATATAGAGGTACAGATAGAGACTGTGGACACAGGAATCAACACTGTGTAGTGACTGTCAGTTTCAAGCTTCAATGTGATCTAAGGAGTAGTGGAACTTGGTCTGAAGATGGGGTTGACATTTGAAACTGACAGCCACCATAGTGTCGATGGCTGTGTTCACACTATAAACAGACACCACTCTTCACTGATACATATTTTAATTTCTACAAATGTAGAAAATTTTAAACAATATGTATCCCAGAAGGTTTGTATGTGGGCATCAGTTTCATATATCCTAAAAACCAGATAATTAAGATTTGCAACCGTTTACTAGTTTGGCTGAAGCAGTTGAGAAAAAGCAGATTTAGAAATACGAGACTCTCCCAAAAGGCAAGCTGATTTGGCCTATAGCTTTGAATTAATCTATAGAATGATTCACTCTTTTTTCAAAATGTGACTAAGTGCTTGTTGGTTAGTCTTGTTAGAAAATATGCAATTTCCAGTACTGTAAAGGTGTACAGCGATGACCTTTTCCTTGAATGTCTTTCCAAGGAGAAAAAAAGAAGAAGCTATTTTCCAGCCAAACTGAAGATAATCACGATTAAATGAACTGAATCTCTTGTACCTTTGTTGTAGACATACCTGTTCCTTCCTCACTTTGTCCACTGTCAGCATGAGAGGGCATCGTTGATATCCAAGTGAAATCGTCACACATCATTGTCGTGTTTTCATTGTTTTCACAGTTGGGTGTATTGGTCAAGTCCTGCACGCACATCTGTAGAAGAAAAAAAAAATCATATTAAGAAATGTGTTGTGTAAAACAAGAAGTTGGGAGGGTTCTGTCTTCTTTCTCTTGTTGGGAGCGGAGCAAATAGAATGAGAATGCAAAAACAACTCTGACTTAAACAAATACAAAGTGCACTGCAAATACATTGTTGTCACATCAGACATGTTGTAATTGTGTGTGCACTTGTTTGTGCAGCATTGGTGCTTGACCAATGAGAAGAACATCTGAAGACATGGTATTTATGTCATCTCTCTCCCCATTTTTGCTCCCTCTGTCTCTTTACCTTCATTCTTACACTCCCTCTCTTTACACCTTCACCCTTTGCTCACATATTTTACTATCTTTCCTGTTTCCTTTTCTTATTTGTATTTTCTTCCTTTTCATTTTCATTTCTTGTATTCTTTGTTTTCCTTAAATACAGTCTGCCTTTTCTATTATATTCAGCAAGACTCTTTTAAAAAAAAATATTGTATACAATAAATATATACATTGATAAAAAAATTAATGAAACATTGAAAACAACAAAAACCAAAAAGAAAACAAACCGAAGTTCCCAGGGAAAAATAAAATAACCATTTAGAAACCTTCCTCAACTTACTAAGATGCAAAATGGTTAATAATCTAGATACTTAACAGGCACAAAATTTCACCATGACTTCAAGTTTCATGCTATGAAGTAATCCCCAGGTGGCTCACTGGACTCGATGTGGATCATTTCATAGTGTAAAACTTGTCTGACATATTTTGATTGGATTATATATGTTATTAAAGATGACTGATAATGTAGTGCAATTAAGCTTTTTATTCAATTTTTTTCTGTCTATATAAGAGTTTTCTTTTCTGGATATAAAGTGTGTAAAAACTGTCCAAAGATTCTATATGTCCAAGCACTTTCATCTATTCTATTAGTCATTACCAAGGACATTTTTACACACTTTATGAACAGAAAAGAAAACACATATTTAAACACAAGAGAAATTGAATAAAAAATAGTAGCTTTAAAGAAACTCGTATAAAAGAGGGATTGCTGCTCAAATACACAATTTTACACACACAGATATATATATATATATATATATATATGGAGGAATGGTGGAGTAATGGATAGTGGCTAGGATTGATGAATTGGAGAGCAGGGCATGGATTCCATCAGAGTTCATTATATTCATTTATGTGCTGCTACTCTTGGTAAAGGTATGAATCCATCTCTTTTTTGATCCCCCCCCCACACACCATATGAGTAAATGGCAGGATAGACTGGGTCCTATATCCCTGGATGGCAACCAGTTTCGGAGGACAATTCTGAAAATAAAAACCTAAGGAAGGTCGTTTGGGGACCTTGTGGCACACTGTACACCAGTTCCTTGTATTCAGCTCTTCCAAAAAGTGTGGTTGGTTTTGCATCAGTCTTCACCACTATAATCAAATCATATGTGCAAGTAGTCTGGCTTTTTGGCTCTAAGAATTGTGCTGTTGCATCCTAATATGTTGAAACACAACGTGAGAATCCTCCATCAAACATGTTTCATTAAATAAGTACTTTCAATCTCCAAGATCATCCTCAGTGGTGAATTGCGAAGGCAAACTTAACGAAATTGTAATCGTTGTGGTGGTGATTTTTGTAGTTGATGGAGAAGAGTTATTGCATATGATTAAGTTGGTTGTGTTAAATTTAGTATAATATATAATTAGTCTTATTTTTTTTTTACTGGGTTCAGTGGGGAATATATTAGGATTTATGAAATTTTTTAGGATTTTTTCACCGTGTTTATAATGCATTTGATTACAGTATAGTAGGTTGATATGTTTAGGGTTATTTTAGGAAGTATTATGTTTTTTTTTTATTTATGTTACTATTTTTAATAGCTTGTTTAATTTATTCATCAACAATGTAATTAGAAAAGTCATTATTAATGAGAGTTTGTTTAATGTTTTTTAGTTCAGTGTAGAAAATGTTTTTGTGGAAATGTTAACTTTTGCATAATTTATTTTTTATAATAACTATTTTGTAATAGTCTGGACATTCACTTTTATAGTTCAGAGTGCAATTGTTTATGCTGATTGTTTTTTGTATGGGGAGGTTGTAAATATATTATTATTAGTGTTTATCAATACATTGGGAAAAGAATTTTATTGTCATTGTTCAGTTCATATGTGAAGTTTTTTTGTAGTTCATGTATTTCATCTATGATTTTAACTAAGATAAGAATAACATCTACATATCTTTAGGTAGAGAAAGGGATTTTTGTGGTGTTAAATATCTTATTTTCAAGGTTAGTGATGTAGAAGTTACTAAATTTTAGCCCAAGAAGTGAACCCATGGAAATGCCATTACGTTGTATGTAGATGATATTTTGGTGGTCATAAAAGGGAAGTTCAGTAGTACAAGTCATAAGTAGTTTTTGTAATATAGTTTAATTTTTAGTGGAGAGAGAGAGAGAGATGGATTGTTGCAAATATTCTTTGTAATTATATTAATTGTTTCTTTAACTGAGACATTGGTAAATAAACCTTCAGCATCAAATGAGGCTATGGTTTTGTTATTAGGTTTTTAAGTTTTTAAGATTTGGATTAGTTTGTGAGTTGATTTAATACTGTATTTACTAGCTATGTATGGTGTAATGAGTTGGTTGATGATTCTGGTTAATTGATAAACCTGAGTGGGGATCTGGGATATTATGGGATGGAGAGGCAAATTAGGCTTCTATAATTTTATAGTTCCATATATGTATCTTGGTTTGTAGCCTTCGATTATTTTGGGTAGTTTTAAGTTGTCCTGTTCCGTGTTGTTGACTGTGATCAGTTTATTAAATTTTAATTTCAGTTAGTAAGTAGGATTTTTTGTTGACTTTTTAAAATTTGGTATGATCATTGAGTATTTTCTGTAATTGCGAATTGTAATTAGATTTACTTAATACAATAAAAATATTGGCTTTATCTGCTTTTTTAATAGTTATCTGAGTATGGTTACGTAGTTTCTTTGCAGCAATTTTTTTATGTCTGTTTTTTTATTGCTTCAGCTTTTAGCAAGTTATGAATTTCTGGATGTATTTTAATTAATTGTTGTTCTTTAAGTTTTAATTTAATTTAAAAATAATTATAACAGAGCGCATTTACAAGAACACGTGTTTACAAAAATCACCACCACAATGATTACAATTACATTAAGTTTGTTTTCACTTGAGGAGATTGAAAGTATTTGGGTTAACAAGGACTACGGTGCCTTTCTTGATGAATTTCAACATACCATCAAGAAGATAATTAGAGAACTAGAAAGGATTATTATAAAAATAGATGGACATAATATGTCTATATTATGTAATGAAACATGCTTGAATTAAGGTATATAAAAAACTGTGATAAGATTTTGAGTAATGTAATCACTTGACTGATCCTCAAATATGGCCAGTACAGATGCAGCTTTTTAGTCCTGCTAGGGACTTACACTCTCTTGTGTAGATGTGGCAGCTCTGGCCCCTAATTTCAGTAAGTTTTACAGCAATATTTTGGGGAATCTTCATATGATGTTTTTGTCCACAAACTGTGGCATATTTTCACACTTGCTACAAGTAGAAATGCTATATAATGTTTAGTGAATGATTGCTGTTTGTTTGCAATTTCTTGGATTATTTCTATTTTGACAGATTAGACTGTATTCATTATTTATTTCTTGGATAAAACAATCTCAGTGAGATTAACGTAAAAACCTTTATGAACATCTCTCTTGAGATTTTCATCCTCAACACGATTCTTCTAATATATATATATATTTTTTATTAAAGCATTTCACCCCAAGCAAGGTGGGAGTGCCACTAGCACACAGGGGGTTACAGAGAATGGAAGCAAGAGTAAAGAGGCATAATAGAGAAAGATGAAGAGAAGGACAGGGGAATTAGATCAAGGCATCTGAAGATGTTGATTGACATTTCATTTGAATAATTGAAGATTATAGCTATCAGGGAAGCGAGTAAGAGTTCCACACTCAAGAAGTGTGAGACATGAAGCTATCGAAATAGAAGAGATGGCTACATTTAACAGTTTCAATAGTGAAAGGGTGAGACTGAGATGCTAACCTAGTGGCATGCTTTAATTCATGTAGTTCGGGAACCAGCAAAAGTAATTTGTCAAAGCAGTTAGCATGAAAGTATGTGTAGAAAAGACAGTGGGAAGCGACAGCACATCTGTGAGATATATATGACAATGATGACTGCCTGTTTGCTGAACTAGGAAGGTCACCAAACAGACCATGCTGAATAAAGTGATTTCTCCACCCCAATCTTCAAACACTTGCAAAACACTATGTGCACCACTCTGAGCATTAGACAGAATTGATCCATTGACAAGAACCAGTCAAGATAATTGGGGACTGCCTGCACTGCATAGGAACCTAGTAGGCCGATGAAAAAATACAGGTGAGGGTGTTAATGCCTGAATCATATCACACTGTACACGCAACTATATACAGTGTAACCCGGATATAAGAGAGTTGTCGGGACCGGAGACGAAGTCTCTTATATCCGGGTTTCTCTTATATCCGGGTTTGGTCTATTTTATATACATTAACACAGGGACCAGAGAAAATCTCTCTTATATCCGGGTTACACTATATATATATATATATTTGTATATACACACCACCTATCTATCTATATGTATATATATTTCTTATGAACATGAATTAATAGAAAATACAGAATTACAAGTAAAAGATTTTAGCCCTATCGTGGTAATGCTCTAAAATACTCATGTTTATTTGAAGAACTAAAATTGAACCAGTTTCATGTCTATTGAGAGCAGGTGTTTTGACTACAATTCTTGCTGTTCAGGTTAAAATTTGGCCTTTTTAACTTTGCAAGTATTCACCCAATACAAGCACCAAGAGTCACTCAAGGTAGAAAGTTACTGAATAAGGTTGCTGTATGGGTTCAGTAGTGGTTCTTGGGAAGAAGCTGAGTGGAACTTCCTTCTTACTAATAGAATACACAAGG